GACCGTCACTTTATAATGCCCCCACGGCTGAAAGGGCAAGCATGTTTAGTGGGATAGGGATTCGAACCTGCGACCCTCATATTGCGAGTCAAGCGCCCTAACCACCTGGCTATGCGAGGCCAAAAGGTAATGGATTCCTGTTAACTGGTGGAAAAGGAATTTTGAGTTATTTTAAATAGTTTAATTTAAACTTTGCTGAGACTACTATAGGGTATGGAGCTGGAGTGGAGTAATGTAGTTGAATACGTTAATCAGATATCAACTCGTAATATCAACCGAGGCAGATTCAAAATTATAGTGTTTATACCTTTAAGTTAAAATTTATAATATGAAAATAGGTTCCGGATCTCAGATCCAGCAGAAATTAAACATTGCTTACTGAGGTCTGCGATGGTTTTATTGTTAACACAGGCCTGCTATAATTTTATTGTCTTGAAATTTTTACATATTTTACAGTAATTCGTGTATGCTGAATCCGAAAATGATATTTTACAGTAATTCATGTATGCTGAATCCGAAAATGATGTCCATTTTTCTCCATCACGTACGGACTTTTCAGAAAACGTCATAAAGCAATGCTTAAAAGAAATACCACAACATGTGGTTTTGAGAATAGAAGACGTAGATTTCACACACACAAAAAAAAATCAGGATGAATGAAGATGCATATTCGTTTGTATTTTTGTTAAAAAACATAATAATAAAAAGTGTTCGTTGTTGTAAACGAAATAATAATTTGATCTGAGTAAGAGTTTTTTTTTTCTTCTTCCCGATTTGTAAAAAATCCTTACGTGATAGAAAAAAAAAAGAATATTTTCGAAATCTTCGTAGCTTAATTATGGAAAATTGATTATTAAAAACAAAACGACTTTTATGAAGTTTAAATTCGCAGGTCTGTGCTATTACTGTGATGAGGGTTCGATGCTCGCTGGTCGAGGGATTGTTACATCATAAATGATGCTTTTTAGATTATATTTGGGTTTGAAACATTACGTTGATTTTGTGTTACTGCTTTGTTATTTATCATTGTTATTAATTAAATAAATTGTAGTTTTTAAAACTTAGTTCCTGATAAATCAGACTATGTTTCGTAGATGTTATTTGTTTTTGAGAGAAAACGAACATCACCTTAAAGTACGAGCATTTGAAAATATGGACATATCTATAAAAACTGGTAGAAAAGTTACAAACCCTCCCAACTCCGCTATATACCAACACAATAAAGAAACAGAGCATCCAGTTTCTCTCTCAATAGCTAAACATGGTTTGTTTTGAATTTAGCGCAAAGCTACACGATGGCTATATGCACTAGCCGACCCTAATTTAGCAGTGAAAGACTAGAGGGAAGGCAGCTAGTCATCACCACCCACCGCCAACTCTTTTACCAACGAATAGTGGGATTGATCGTCACATTATAACGCCCCCACAGCTGAAAGGGGCGACCCCCAGATTGCGAGTCAAGCGCCCTAACCACCTGGCCATGTCGGGCCCCAGCCAAACATGATACTGAACTTCTAATAAAAGAAACATTATACATGAAATCTCTTCTTTTGTCCTTAAATATTACACATTCTTCGTGTGATTTAAATCTATTTTGATTAAATTGTTTCGTTTGCGCTACATACTTTTTATTTTCTCTTGTTCTACTTTTTATATTTCAAATGTTTGCTTCTTATGGATTACAAATTATGTCATATTTATGTTGTAATTACAATTGTGTTTGTTTTGTACCTCTAGATTACTGAAGATGGAATTTTCAGTATTCCGAAACGTTTAATAAATGTTATAACGTTCGTGTTTAACTTTATTGTTAAAAAAGTATGCGTCAGTAAGTGTGTCAAAAGTTACCAAATCTTGCTTACTGTGATTGTAACACCATAACCGTAAGGCGGGGACAATACATGCGTCAGTAAGTGTGTCAAAAGTTACCAAATCTTGCTTACTGTGATTGTAACACCATAACCGTAAGGCGGGGACAATACATGCGTCAGTAAGTGTGTCAAAAGTTTCCAACCCTTGCTTACTGTGATTGTAACACCATAACCGTAAGGCGGGGACAATACATGCGTCAGTAAGTGTGTCAAAAGTTTCCAACCCTTGCTTACTGTGATTGTAACACCATAACCATAAGGCGGGGAAAATACATGCGTCAGTAATCTAGCAGTGATAGACTAGAGGGAAGGCAGCTAGTCAACACCACCAACCGCCATCTCTTGGGCTACTAGTTCTATCAACGAATAGTGGGATTTACCGTTATATTATAATGCCCCCCCCCCCCGAGCTTGTTCGGTGACGGAGATTCGAATCTACGACCCGCACATTGTGAGTCCAGCACCCTAATCAGCAGGCAACTATAATAAATAGTTAAAATCTGTGTT